AGGACAGGCCGCTAAAGCACTAAGAAGCCTTTCTTTCTCAGTTATCCCTAAAGTTTGTGGCAAAAGCGTTTTCCTTTCGACAGTTCTGGGTGATAATATTGGTTAATTTTAACCAAAGTTCCCCTAATGCAGTACAACTTTGAGAGTTGTGCAAGGGTAGGTGATGGGGGCTGTGGGTGGGAAATAGGGGGGAAAAGCTTGGGTTTACAGTGGGTTGGATAGATGCGATGTGTTGAGGGTAGGTTATCTTGAGGTTATCTTGAGATGATTTCGGGGCTTTTTAGTGTCCCCTCGACCAGGCCTCCACCCCCAGGAAGCAGCCCGTGACAGCTGACTAACACCCAGGTACCTATTTTACTGCTAGGTAACAGGGGCATAGGGTGAACGAAACTCTGCCCATTGTTTCTCGCCGGCGCCTGGATCGAACCCGGGACCACAGGATCACAAGCCCAGCGTGCTGTCCGCTCGGCCGACCGGCTCCCTAAAGGGGGTTTTCTCTCTAAAGGGGGTTTTCTGGGGAAGAGGGTGTGTTGAGGAAGTTCTTGTTAAAGATTCGCTACCTAGAACAAGAAGTTCCAAGTAGCACAGGCTATGGTGAGCCCGAAGTGGATGTTAATTGAGGAAGAATGTATAGTGAGCATCATTAAAATGATTATCCTAACCCCTTTTCACTCTCTTGTCAACTCCTTGAGTCGTTCCTTGTGGCTCGTACCTCCCATTTCTGGGACTAGTCTGGTGACTTGCCTTTTTTGAACTTTTCCCAACTTCCTTTTGTGTTTATCCATGAAATGGCGTCACGCTGCTGGCCGCATATTCCCGAGTGTATGTGATGCTAAAGTTGTTACCAAACAATAACATTAAGATACGACTATTTCCTTGCTACAGCCATGTCCAGTCGACTTGATAATGATCCAGGACGGACCGAAATGTAATTTCATGTAGTTTTTAAGGATGTTGGGAGGAGGGGGGGGGGAGGATTCTCGTGTTCAAGCAGGTTATTGTGTCTTGCGTTCCGCAGTCACGTCCTTCTAGCCTATGTGTGATGTTAGAGTGTAAATGTACGAGCTGGAAGAATGTCTATGCACATCACTGGTTTGCATTTAGTGTCTACGAGAAAAAAAGTCAGGGTCTTGGGCCCCAACCTCCTAACCTCTTGCAGAAGAAAACCTTGCAAGCAGAAACTTCCTGCAAGGTTTTTGCTTACGTGTTGCTCTTTACATGTTATATTCTGCAAGTGTGTGCAAGATGCAACCATGTCCGTGGTTGTGTTAAGCGTGGTTGTGTTAAGCGTGGTTGTGTTAAGCGTGGTTGTGTTAAGCGTGGTTGTGTTAAGCGTGGTTGTGTTAAGCGTGGTTGTGTTAAGCGTGGGTGTGTTAAACGTGGTTGTGTTAAGCGTGGTTGTGTTAAACGTGGTTGTGTTAAACGTGGTTGTGTTAAGCGTGGTTGTGTTAAGCGTGGTTGTGTTAAGCGTGGTTGTGTTAAGCGTGGTTGTGTTAAGCGTGGTTGTGTTAAACGTGGTTGTGTTAAGCGTGGTTGTGTTAAGCGTGGTTGTGTTAAGCGTGGTTGTGTTAAGCGTGGTTGTGTTAAGCGTGGTTGTGTTAAGCGTGGTTGTGTTAAGCGTGGTTGTGTTAAGCGTGGTTGTGTTAAGCGTGGTTGTGTTAAGCGTGGTTGTGTTAAGCGTGGTTGTGTTAAGCGTGGTTGTGTTAAGCGTGGTTGTGTTAAGCGTGGTTGTGTTAAGCGTGGTTGTGTTAAACGTGGTTGTGTTAAGCGTGGTTGTGTTAAGCGTGGTTGTGTTAAGCGTGGTTGTGTTAAGCGTGGTTGTGTTAAGCGTGGTTGTGTTAAGCGTGGTTGTGTTAAGCGTGGTTGTGTTAAGCGTGGTTGTGTAAGCGTGGTTGTGTTAAGCGTGGTTGTGTTAAGCGTGGTTGTGTTAAGCGTGGTTGTGTTAAGCGTGGTTGTGTTAAGCGTGGTTGTGTTAAGCGTGGTTGTGTTAAGCGTGGTTGTGTTAAGCGTGGTTGTGTTAAGCGTGGTTGTGTTAAGCGTGGTTGTGTTAAGCGTGGTTGTGTAAGCGTGGTTGTATTAAGCGTGGTTGTGTTAAGCGTGGTTGTGTTAAGCGTGGTTGTGTTAAGGTGGTTGTGTTAGCGTGGTTGTGTTAAGCGTGGTTGTGTTAAGCGTGGTTGTGTTAAGCGTGGTTGTGTTAAGCGTGGTGTGTGCAGGCAGAGTTGTGAGATATTGTGTTCATCTTGAGATGATTTCGGGGCTTTTAGTGTCCCTGCGGCCCGGTCCTCGACCAGGCCTCCACCCCCAGGAAGCAGCCCGTGACAGCTGACTAACACCCAGGTACCTATTTTACTGCTAGGTAACAGGGGCATAGGGTGAAAGAAACTTTGCCCATTGTTTCTCGCCGGCGCCTGGGATCGAATCCAGGACCACAGGATCACAAGTCCTGTGTGCTGTCCGCTCGGCCGACCGGCTCCCCAAAGTTGTGTTCACCTTGTGAAGAAACATCCCCCATACGACAATGTTCACGGTACTCCATGAACAGAGAACAGAAGAACAGAGACTAAGCTCGTTGTTATCCCACATAGGAAAAAAATATATTTACAATAAAGACCAATCCAAAAAACAAGAAAAAAGTCTTAAAAAGGCTCAAACTACAAAAAAACACGACTGACGTAAAAAACAAATAACCAACGAATGTCAAAATCACACATACAAAAAAGTCTGAACAAAAAGAAACATATTATTAAAACACACGACCCCCCAAAAACGCCCAACCCGACCCAAAAAAAAGCCACCCGACCCAAAAAAGCCCCACCCGACCCAAAAAAAACGCCTCACCCGACCCAAAAAACGCCCCACCCGACCCAAAAAAGCCCCACCCGACCCAAAAAAACCCCACCCGACCCAAAAACGCCCCACCCGACCCAAAAAAGCCCCACCCGACCCAAAAAAGCCCCACCCGACCCAAAAACAAAAAGTCCAACATCACAAAAAAGACTACATAAGAACACCTGCCAAAAAAAAATTAAATTCTTACAGGATGACCAACCCAGCGGGTTTTCTTCCTATTGGGGAGTGTTGTACATCCTGCTATGGCGGTGTGTGTCCACTCACAGGATGAGTGGCGCTGCCCAATACTGTCACTATGGCGGTGTGTGTCCACTCACAGGATGAGTGGCGCTGCCCAATACTGTCACTATGGCGGTGTGTCCACTCACAGGATGAGTGGCGCTGCCCAATACTGTCACTATGGCGGTGTGTCCACTCACAGGATGAGTGGCGCTGCCCAATACTGTCACTATGGCGGTGTGTCCACTCACAGGATGAGTGGCGCTGCCCAATACTGTCACTATGGCGGTGTGTGTCCACTGAGTGGCGCTGCCCAATACTGTCACTATGGCGGTGTGTGTCCACTCACAGGATGAGTGGCGCTGCCCAATACTGTCACTATGGCGGTGTGTGTCCACTCACAGGATGAGTGGCGCTGCCCAATACTGTCACTATGGCGGTGTGTGTCCACTCACAGGATGAGTGGCGCTGCCCAATACTGTCACTATGGCGGTGTGTCCACTCACAGGATGAGTGGCGCTGCCCAATACTGTCACTATGGCGGTGTGTGTCCACTCACAGGATGAGTGGCGCTGCCCAATACTGTCACTATGGCGGTGTGTGTCCACTCACAGGATGAGTGGCGCTGCCCAATACTGTCACTATGGCGGTGTGTGTCCACTCACAGGATGAGTGGCGCTGCCCAATACTGTCACTATGGCGGTGTGTGTCCACTCACAGGATGAGTGGCGCTGCCCAATACTGTCACTATGGCGGTGTGTGTCCACTCACAGGATGAGTGGCGCTGCCCAATACTGTCACTATGGCGGCCCAATACTGTGTGTCCACTCACAGGATGAGTGGCGCTGCCCAATACTGTCACTATGGCGGTGTGTCCACTCACAGGATGAGTGGCGCTGCCCAATACTGTCACTATGGCGGTGTGTCCACTCACAGGATGAGTGGCGCTGCCCAATACTGTCACTATGGCGGTGTGTCCACTCACAGGATGAGTGGCGCTGCCCAATACTGTCACTATGGCGGTGTGTCCACTCACAGGATGAGTGGCGCTGCCCAATACTGTCACTATGGCGGTGTGTCCACTCACAGGATGAGTGGCGCTGCCCAATACTGTCACTATGGCGGTGTGTGTCCACTCACAGGATGAGTGGCGCTGCCCAATACTGTCACTATGGCGGTGTGTCCACTCACAGGATGAGTGGCGCTGCCCAATACTGTCACTATGGCGGTGTGTCCACTCACAGGATGAGTGGCGCTGCCCAATACTGTCACTATGGCGGTGTGTGTCCACTCACAGGATGAGTGGCGCTGCCCAATACTGTCACTATGGCGGTGTGTGTCCACTCACAGGATGAGTGGCGCTGCCCAATACTGTCACTATGGCGGTGTGTCCACTCACAGGATGAGTGGCGCTGCCCAATACTGTCACTATGGCGGTGTGTCCACTCACAGGATGAGTGGCGCTGCCCAATACTGTCACTATGGCGGTGTGTGTCCACTCACAGGATGAGTGGCGCTGCCCAATACTGTCACTATGGCGGTGTGTGTCCACTCACAGGATGAGTGGCGCTGCCCAATACTGTCACTATGGCGGTGTGTGTCCACTCACAGGATGAGTGGCGCTGCCCAATACTGTCACTATGGCGGTGTGTGTCCACTCACAGGATGAGTGGCGCTGCCCAATACTGTCACTATGGCGGTGTGTCCACTCACAGGATGAGTGGCGCTGCCCAATACTGTCACTATGGCGGTGTGTCCACTCACAGGATGAGTGGCGCTGCCCAATACTGTCACTATGGCGGTGTGTGTGTCCACTCACAGGATGAGTGGCGCTGCCCAATACTGTCACTATGGCGGTGTGTCCACTCACAGGATGAGTGGCGCTGCCCAATACTGTCACTATGGCGGTGTGTCCACTCACAGGATGAGTGGCGCTGCCCAATACTGTCACTATGGCGGTGTGTGTCCACTCACAGGATGAGTGGCGCTGCCCAATACTGTCACTATGGCGGTGTGTGTCCACTCACAGGATGAGTGGCGCTGCCCAATACTGTCACTATGGCGGTGTGTGTCCACTCACAGGATGAGTGACGTGGCGGCGGTGCCAGGATGAGTGCAATACTGTCACTATGGCGGTGTGTCCACTCACAGGATGAGTGGCGCTGCCCAATACTGTCACTATGGCGGTGTGTCCACTCACAGGATGAGTGGCGCTGCCCAATACTGTCACTATGGCGGTGTGTCCACTCACAGGATGAGTGGCGCTGCCCAATACTGTCACTATGGCGGTGTGTCCACTCACAGGATGAGTGGCGCTGCCCAATACTGTCACTATGGCTGTGTGTGTCCACTCACAGGATGAGTGGCGCTGCCCAATACTGTCACTATGGCTGTGTGTGTCCACTCACAGGATGAGTGGCGCTGCCCAATACTGTCACTATGGCGGTGTGTGTCCACTCACAGGATGAGTGACGCTGCCCAATACTGTCACTATGGCGGTGTGTGTCCACTCACAGGATGAGTGGCGCTGCCCAATACTGTCACTATGGCGGTGTGTGTCCACTCACAGGATGAGTGGCGCTGCCCCCTTCTGTCACTATGGCGGTGTGTGTCCACTCACAGGATGAGTGACGCTGCCCAATAAACTCGCCTCTCGGGGCAAAAAAAAAAAAAAAATCCCCCCCCCCCAAAAAAAATACCCAAGGTCTTACTCTAACCTCTGAGTATTGAGACGAGTCCCCTGATATCCCCTGATATCCCTCCCTGAGGGATATCAGGATTCCCCTCAAGGGGAAGCCATAGTCACTATATGATAACAATTGACTTTCACCGCTCAAGTAACCGATTAATTAACACTTAAGTTGCACCTTATATTTAAGTTTCATTACATCACGGTTAAAAAATAATAATATTGATAAATAACGATTCAATGATTTGTTGATTTGTGATGATTTAATGATTTGTTGATTGTGATGATTCACGCAATGCACTTGTGCACGCTGCGTCCAAAAACGCACGCAATATGAACGCACTTGATTCAAAATCAAAGATCTACCAGATAGCACAGTGGTCTGCGTAATCGGTTCTCAACCGCAAGATCCCGTGTTCGATCCCCGTACAGGGTGAATGCCTTTGGCCAACGTGGTTTTCACTAATGCCGCTGTTCACCAAATCAGTACATAGGTACCTGGGAGCTAGGGAACTGTTGTGGGTTGCTTCTTGTCACGTGTGGACCTTAGGCCTGGTCGAGGACCGGGCCGCGGGGACGCTAAGCCCCGAAATCATTTCAAGGTAGGTAACCCTCGCTAAGCCTAACAGGCTTCCTGTTCCCAGCAACGGAGAACTAAACAGAAGATTAAACAGGTCTTCTAACCGTTTAACGATTTTCAAACCGTTTAACGATCTTCAAACCGTTATACGATCTTCTAACCGTTTAACGATCTTCTAACCGCTTAACGATTTTCAAACCATTTAACGATCTTCAAACCGTTTAACGATTTTCAAACCGTTTAACGATTTTCAAACCGTTAACGGTTTAACGTTATTCAAACTGTTTAACGATCTTCAAAGCGTACAAAGCACCTTCTAAATACGTAGTTGAGGACTTAGGCGACTTGAGATACTAAATAAGGCTTTTCCAAGCTTATTTAAGTGTTGGGTTGACCGCCTAGCTTATTCTTATTGATAAGAATATAGGGAATGGCGATATATTCTGGTGAGGGGGGGGGGAGGTTTATTCAGTCGGGTTGAGTACGTGGTGGTAGATTGTGGTAGTGGTTAGTGGTGGTAGATTGTGGTAGTGGTGGTAGATTGTGGTAGTGGTAGTGTGTGGTAGTGTGTGGTAGTGGTGGTTCATCTTGCCTGGCAATGTGTATGCTGTTTATTTATATTTGTTCATGAATGTGTTGTATATATATATATATATATATATATATATATATATATATATATATATATATATATATATATATATATATATATATATATATATATATA